TAATATTTTGACCAAAACAAATATATTTATTCTTGGGGTTGGGTGATATGTAAATATGAGATGGCATAAATTTGTCAACTGACACATACTGCTCACACCATGGTAACCATCTCTTTAACATCTCTGGGTGTATTAGACATTGCTGTAAATCAATTGGAAGTACTGCTTTACTGTATGACATATTTTATCTATTCTATATCACCCACGCCTATTAGCTTTGAATAGACATGCCTTCAGTAGCTAGTGCTTGAAGTTTAGTCCAGGCAGATGAATGATCTGTTCCCTGTGGCAGACAAACTGCCAGACAGTAGGCTGTGATGGCAACAGCATAGGGATGTTGAAGCTCCTCGAGGTGTGACAGGAGATATGCTGTTGCATTTGAAATGCTTGCTTCCTGGTAGAAAGTAGTAAGAAGTCAGTCGGTACATTTTTTCACTTAATCTTATTTGCAAACTATGCATTGACAGCAGTGTATTAAAGTACATTAAATATAAAACTATAGATATGAACAAGGCCATCCCCACAATTTTTTTAAGACATTTCACTCAAAATCACAAATGTTAACTTCATGTTGGTGCTAAAGGAAGTGTCTGGTAACCAAAATCATGAGGATACATAGCCTGGGCCTCATTATCTGTAGAAAATGCTGTGACAGTCACTGTCATAGAAGTTCATCCTCTTGGCAACATGAGTGCCTGTAAAAAATTGCTTGACAATCAAAAATAAGAGTGTCGAGATATTTCAGTCTGGACCAATGTGGTGGACTGACAAACATTGCCATTCCAAAAGCAACACCACTAGCATGGCCAAAAACAGTTACCCAGGACAGTAAGTCTTTCTATTATCTCACCGCATCATTTCTCAGTTCAGTTTGCAGGAACTGAAGGGACTGTTTCAGTGCAAGAGTTATGAAAGCTGTCATGGATGTATCTTCGTCTTTGCCTTTCTACATTAAACACAGAGACAATATTGCATTCAAACCACTGCTACTGAGTTTGCTGCCACATCCAATACTGTTATAATATATGTATGTGCATGTTCTAACAAATATGTGATGAAGATTACCATTACTCCTCTGTGAAGCACTCGTTCTGGGTCATCGAATGACCCATCAGTCTTCTGTACTGAGAGCAAGTAACTAACTGGTTGCCTGATCTCTTCTTCTGGTACGACCCTAGCCTTCCTGCCCTGCTCACCAAAAGCCACTGACTGACGCTGTGCCACCAGTGATAGCACTTTGACTACAAGGGCAGTCAACCTGAGGACAAGAGAGAGAAAAGTAAGGGAGACAATTGGATGGAAAAAGCTAAATCACAATTTGAGATACTGGTAATTAGGAAAGTTTTACTGTTTGCGATATTTGAAGTAACTACCACACATCAAAAATCAACTACAGTAAGAAATTTGAAGAAATTTCAATGTGAGCGCTGGATGTTAAAAAGCTGACAACACACTGCATTGCAGACTTAGGGCCCATACACATGCCACGTTTTTCATGCCCTCAAATTCATTGTTTTCAAGGTAGACGCACGGAAGGCATGCTCAAAAGTGAGACACTGCCACGATGCAAAAGTGTTCCCGAGCGCCTGTTTTTCAGGGTGAAATGGCTTCGCCCTGACATAAACAAGAGTTCAACTGTTGAAACACAGCAGCATGCACTGCATGTCATGTGAACGGAACAACCAATTTTAGCAAGCAGAAATCTTTCCCTTCTTCTATAAAATCAGTCTGTGGTAAATATCGAGGAGAAGTTGAGCATTTTAGTGTTGGGCTACCTTGAGCTTTACATTTGTCCCACGGACAATATTGTATGCATAATACACACATAAGATTCCCTGCCTGGAGGAAGATCAGCTCTGCACTCAGGATTTCTGGTCACTAGGCTATGATACAGAGCTGGTTTTGGTTATTTTGCAGCATCATGTGCAAACTGTCTCTGTGATCTTTAAAGTTGGCACAGATTAAGCCCAAGAATAGCACCCAGCACCCAACCTTTCGCTTTCAAGGTGGTTAAAATGTGGCATGTATATGAGCCCTTAAATGTGTAGGAAGATGGTGAGATAGTAGGAATCGCCGTAAAAGTGAGAGTGGAGTTAGTGAGGCCCTGTTTACACGACAACGGTCTCTCTAAAAACGGAAAAGTCTGTCCTTTGCGTTTTAAAAAACTTCTGCGTTTACATGACAACGTTATTGAAACGATCCCCGTTCACACGGAGCTACAAAATCTACTGGAAACGCTGTAGTATGCACGCCAGGCCAATGGGTGGCAGTGTAAATTTTCAAGACAACACCAAGGCATGACACCACGCGCCTGCGCTGAAGCGCCTTCCTCTACAACGCGGTGATTACAAACCAAAACAAAGAAGACACAATGGCGAACGCACGCATGGATACCTTTGTCTGGAGTGACAATGAAGTGAGCTTGCTACTTAAAGTGACTCTGGACTATAAGGCAGCGAAATTCCAAGAAAATTTTGACTGGGAATCATGCCAGTCGAAATACGCGGATATCTTGGCGGCTTTTATCCAGCAGTATCCATCAAGTGAAACTGCAGGAGGGAGGGAGTTCCTGCACAAGAAAGACTCCATTACAAAACCCCAGGTGACCTCAAAGCTGAAAGCCATCTGAGGAAAATACAGACACGCGGTGGACTCTGGACAGCGGAGTGGCCACGGACGTGTAGTTATGATATTTTTCGAGCTTTGCGAGCAGATATGGGGTGGATCACCAGCGACTTGCGCCTTAGAGTCCGGCATCGAAACAGCTGATCTGCAACTCAATTCAGAAGAGTCTTCGTCCTCGGCCTCCAACAGTCGTTCTTCTACTCCTGTTTCCGACTTCTCCATGAGTGTGGACCCACCAACCTCAAGCGAATCGACTGCTGGCTGCAACCTACCGCCCGAGGTTGTTAAGACGCGAAGAGACCTTCTTCAGGTATGTGTGCTAAATGCTGTTCAGCATATTTGAGCTATTTGCTGTGCTGTATGATAGCACTCAAGCACTGTAACGTTGCATGCACTCAGTGGTCACTGTTTTTAGGAATAACGTTACCTGTACAATCTAATGCAATAGCTCTGCCATAAATTTTATTTTTGCAAAGTGTATAATATGTTTTGTTTACACTGTAAAGTATGTAAATTTAAGTGGTACTGAAGTTGTAGTTTGCATAGGTATTGTATTGGATTACAGTATATTGAGGTGTTTATAATAATTTATAATTTAGTCCTCATTTATATACGTGGGAGGAAGAGAATATTGTAAAACCCTTATCAATATAATGCAGTCCAGTACAACAACACTACCACTACAGAGATGCAAGTTGTTATTTGTGTAGCCATGCAGTTAAATGCGTTAAGTACCTGATGCACATAACACAGCAGACACTGTTGCCCATGGCCTCTCCAATGAACATATTTTCCCTGTGCTCTTTTCAAGGCAAGGCTCAACAGCCACAGAGGGGACAGGCTAAAGAGAAAGCTTCACACAGATCCAGCCGTGGAGGAGGACCTCCAAATTAAGAGGAGGATGGTGGACCTTCTGGAGGAGTCGGACAGGTGCAATACGGAGAGGCTAGATAAATTAACTGACAACATTGCTGCCATCACCACTACCATCCATGAAGGCTTTTCGCTGTTGAGGCAATTAATGTCCCAGCTGCAACCCTATGTTGCATACCCCCATGGTAGCAACAGTGATGGATATGCACACATGCACGGACACTCACCTGGGTTCATGAACACACCTCAGCATTCATCACATGCACCAGGCCCATACACACAAACACCTGGCCCATACACACAGACACCAGTACACCCACGTCCACATTCACGGCCAGCTCCTGTATACTCTTACAGACGTGCACTGCTACAGGATGACGCACTGCAGGAGGAGGAGAATTTATAACAACATTGTTACTTCTGGACTGAGTACAGTTATCTTTTATCTGCAATAGTCATTCCTTTGAACAGTGGTTTTTACCTTCCCATTCAGATTTTATTTTGTGTGTGTGTAAAAGCAGTGAATGTTGGCTCAGCCATAGGAGGGTGCAGAGTGACCTTTTTTTTTTTTTAACTTTATTGTTAAGGTTTGTTGACTCAGTCCTAGGAGAGTGTGCTGTTATAGTGCACCTGAACATTTGAACACTCCATTGTGTAGCACATTTTTATTATTTTTTTGTATTCAACCCTTTTCTCTTTGGTTGTTAATGAGTTTATTGTATTGTATTGAAAATAAGTGAATATTTATGATGCTGCAGATGCACATTTGAAAACAGTTTATTTTTTTCAATAAAAAAGAAGTTGTGAACAAGTGGTTGCTGTCATTTCAAAATATTTGATTTTCACCATCCACACAAATGTCACTCAAAACCATTTATATATATAAAGGTCACATGAGAAGTGTTTTGAGTAAAAAAAATAGAAATAAAAAAAGTCATATAAACAATATGGCCCATAACAAACAGAAGAAGTATTAACCAATATAAAATAATCAATAGCCGCAGCCCTATTTTTGATGACTGTGAGACATGAATACTTTACAAATATCGATTAAATCTATGAAAAAATAACCATTATCAGGACATCCTCCTGTAGCACTGCACGTCTGGAAGTGTACAGGAACACTTCCAGACGTGCATTGCTACAGGAGGACGCACTTCAGGAGGATAACAATTTATAAAGCCATTGTGTGACTTTTGGCTGAGTCATAGGAGGGTGCACAGTGACACAAATTATTTATTTATTTTTTTTACTTCATTGAAGGTTGATTACTCTGTCCTAGGAATGTACTGCTATAGTGAACCTGAACACCTTTTTTTTTTTTTTTTTTAATTTGTATTTAAAAGCAGGAAATGCTGGATCTGCCATTAGGTACACTGTGACCTTTAAAAAAAGTTTACTGTAAGTTTAAAGGGGTTAATGTTTACTCTGTCATAGGAGTGTGAACATTGCAGATGAAAAAACTACATAATGTAGCTAATTGTTATTTTATCTACTTTTTGTATTTAAAAGAAGTAAAAGGAAGCTGCAGATGCACATTTGAAAAAGTTTATTTTACTGCAATAAAAGAAATAGTGAACAAGTTGTTGCAGTCATTTCGACAAATTATTTTTTCATCGTCCACACAAATGTCACTCCAAACCTTTGATATATACGTGAAGGTCACATGAGAAGTGTTTTGAATAAAAAAGAAAGAACAAAGTCTAACAATATAAAGATAATTATATAAAAATGTACAGTACAGAAGAAGAGATAGATCCTACTATGTTAACAGTTTGACAGAATATTTGACAAATGTATATTACTTCACTTTATGTCATTATGTTGGCAAAGACAAGCAGATGAGTAAAACAAAAAACATGGCTTTCTAAGTGTGTTTGTGTTTCAGGTCAGTTTGAAATATTACCTAAATATTTTTGTTCTACCATTTAACTGAATATGATGTTGAATTTGTAAACACATATTTGAATTACTTCCACATTGATAACCATGATATTGTGTCCCATGTCTACTACAAATTTCAAGGTGTAAACTTTAGCATTCTATGATATTTCCTTCAGATGAATAAGTGGTAGGTGATTGATTACACAGTATTATTAAGATATTAAGGGTCAAGGAACTTTGTGATGATTCTCCTGACTCTCTTTCCACTTCCCTCATTGAAGTCTGTGAGATAGTTGTTGCTCTGTGTGGGAGGCTGGCATTCTTGGTCACACTGTATGGTTCCCAACAGAGAGTGTTCATCCACAGTCTCCTCACTGGCTTCACAATAATTGTGGAGAACAAAACACGAATAAATCACATGGGGCAGGTCCTCAAGATTTATGTCCATAGGCCGCCTCAGGGCTGCAAACCTGGCTTTGAGCCGACCAAACGCACATTCAATAACCATGTGGGCTCGACACAGACAAAGTCCAAAGTACTGTTCTTGAGGGGTAGAGCCACCGTTTGAATATTCTTTCATAAGGAAAGGCAGTAGGGGGTAGGCAGGGTCTCCCAGAAGAAAAACTGGTATGGCCTCCTCTCCGTCCACTAGTTGCTTTTCCAGTGCAGGGATCCTCCCGGTCTTAAAATAGGTATTTACCTTGGAGTTAGCGAAGATGCGTGCGTCATGAACACTCCCAGGCCACTTCACGACAACATCCATGAATCTGTATCTGTAGTCGCAGATGGCTTGGACATTAAGGGAATGTTTGCCCTTCCTGTTAATGTAGTCCATGGAGTTGGTAGATGGCTGTTTTATCTCAATGTGGGTCCCGTCTATCGCTCCCAAACACTGAGGCATACCATGAGCGCGTTGAAATCCAGACACTAGCTCCTCTGCCTCGGGCTCAGTGAAAGGCAGCTTGATGTATTTCGGACCAAGGTGGACAGCAATGGCCCGGCACGTTTGCCGGACTATGATCGACACAGTCGCGCGGGACAGGCTGAAGGTGTTGGTGGTCTTCCGTAGTCTTCCCTCATCACTTAAATAATATAAAGTGCACGCTGTCTTTGTTAAGACGTCAACCGGCGATCTCATGTTCGTCGTTTCCCCCTCGATGTACGGACAAAGTTCTTCACTCAGGGCAATGAGAGAGGCTTTAGACATACGGAAGTTTTCCCTCCACTCACACTCGTCAACAATGCCAATAACAAAATGTTCCCACCACCGGCTTGTTCTCCCCAGTCTGGTCCAAAAACGTCTTTTGACCGCCCTCCGTTGACATATAGGTGGATTCAGTATTTGGCGAATGTTATTTATGTGTCTCCGCTGATCACAAAACGTGTGCAGGGAATGTAGCGTTTGCTGGAGGAGTGTAAATAAACTCAGCAGAGTCTGCAGCAAACACACAGCTTGATAGTCCACCATTGTTGTTGTTGTGTTGCCAGGGATGCGGTGTTGCGCATGCCTACTGGGCTGACAGCTAATAGTCATGCGCGAAGTGGGGGCATGTCATCACAGTTTTCACATGAAACACCTGCTGGCAGTTTACACGGCAACGGTGACGATTCAAAAAGATTTCACTCTGGAACCCGTTTTCAAATGTTTGCGGTTTCAGGCGGCCAGATCGCCGTTCTCGTATAAACAGACGGCCAAACCGCAACAAAAGTTTGCCGTTTTATCCCAGAATCGTTGCCGTGTAAACGGCCCCCAAGTATGAAGGAATATATTGTAGTGCTAGTAGGAAAGGTTCGGTCTCTTAAGTTTTTACGTTGAAAAAATGTTCAAGTGTTAAGTTGCAAAAAAAGGCTTCCAGCATTCACACCCAATAAAGCAGCATAAAACAAATAGCCTACTCACCAATAACTAGGTGGTGTTGAAGTAAATGCTCTGTAAGATCCATCTTCTTTTCTCTTGTATGTTAAAACCCTCATATAACCTGACAAAGAAATCTTGTTAGAAACAAAAATGTCCTTTTTTTAATGCCGATAGCCTCCTTAGTGACCTGTAGAGGATGCTTCTGTTGTTGTTCAGCAGCTTAAGGGGCTGTGTCCACCAAAGTGTTTTTGTCTGAGCGCCCAGAGTTGAAAAATGTTCAACTATGGGTAAAAACACGTGCTCGACGCTTTGGCTGTTCAATCACAGTGGAGGAGGGATAAATACTGTGGAGACAAACTGTTACATCATACATGTACAAATGCTGAACAGCAGCAACAATGGAGGAGAAACTGGTTAATATAGGCTACTGTGTATATAAACTAAGCACCAAAATTAAGGAAATTTGTGTTTGGTAGATTATGTCTTTGTTGTAACAATGCTTCTTGGCAATAAATCTTATACCGTTGGAAAGCCTGTTTATTTCCCTTTTAAATGGTGCCACATTTGTAAGGAACATGCATTTGTGGGATGAGCAGCAGAGCTGAGTATGTGGGTTGCGCCAATGAAAAATTTGCAAAATCTTCTCTGACAATGCCAAACAGCTTTTTTTGCTGTTGCTATTGTTTTGAGCTTCTGGTGCCAACCAGGCACCTGATTGCCAGCACCTGTAAGCATGGGCCCTGCTACAGTGGTCAGTTCATGTCTGCTCCAAGAATCGGCATGCCACGTTTGACTGATCTGGATCATCGCCCTGAGATTATCATTTGTAGGTACTCTTTTTTTTACAGCTGTTTTGTAATTGTTCATTTATGATTCAGTAGAATTTAGTTTTATTGAACTAACAGGCTAACATCACAATCTTTTAAGTCTGCTAACAGGCAAAAGGAGCAATCAACATAATCTCATTATGACGTCCTAAGAAATGGTGTCAGAATTTAAGTTTGGCAAAAACGTTTTTCTTCACTCCGAATGTGTGGGTCTATTCAAATGATGAGGAAATTATGCAATTAACTGCTCCATGCATTCCTACCTTGCTCAATTTTATCAAGAGCATCATCTCTGCTACCAGCAGGCAGGTTGAACCATTGCTCACTCAGGTCAAGGTAGCGGACGGCTGATGCTGTAGGGGCCAGTCCTGTCATGGTCTGTTCTAAACATCCTGTAGGCAGTACGATTAGGCCAGCAACCTTATGAGGAGAGAGAAGGTTCTTCGCATATGAACTGCCAAATCCATCCCCTGTAAGATGAGAACATTGAAAGGGTAAGACACTGTTATTTTGAAAGGCAAATGAATTTTGTCTTTGTCCAACAGCACATACCTTCCACTGAAATAAAAATATTGGAGCTGGAGTCGGGGACTGTGTTAGCTGGTAAAGATCCGTCAATAGTGATAGTCTTAGTGCTCCTCCCTAATCAAGATAGAGAGAAGTAAATTAATTAAAGTGAATTTAAGTGTATATTTAAGAATAAATTAATGACAACTGTCAAGCGAGTATCATTACGAAATACTGAAACAACTCACCATCTAATTTAAGCACTTGGGTTTCTTCTACTCTCTTTTCAATGCCTTCTGCCTACAGCATGAGAGAGTAGAGTGAGAAATTACTGTACGACCCCTCCCTTACACATAAAGATATCCAAGTGGAAAAAACATGATGGAACCAGAATAAGGTTTATTGCCAAGTAGGTTTTTGAGGAATTTGTCTTGGTGTTTGGTGCAGACAATGATCATATTAAAGGTGGGGCAGGCAGTTCAATTCTGGCGACACTGGGCAAAAATCCCATCATGAACTTTGAGCATATTGTAATTTAAGTGGTCTGAAAGAGCACTAAACTTCTTCATCTTCCCTTGGCTCCATTTTCAAGCTTTTGAAAATGTATAACCTGTGATGGGAGACTGTGGCCAATCACAGGCCATAATATTGTGTGAATAATATTGATCATCTTGTGACAATGCAATGTTCTGCTGGGAAACCTTGGGTCCTAGCATTCATGTGGATGCTACTTGACACACTCCACCCACCCAAACACTGCTGCAGAGCAAATGCCCCCATGGCATCAGCAGTGGCCCCCCAGCAGGACAGTACGCCATGCCACAACACAAAAACTGACAGAAATGGCCCAAACTAGTGACAAAGAGCTCAAGGTGTCCATCTGGTCTCAAAATTCCCCAGATCTCAATGATCTATAGGACATGCTGGTACCCCCATCCATGATGGGGCCTCCTTGGACTAAACTTTGCTCTGACTTGTCAAGACATTGACACAGGACCCTTTTGGAGTGGTCCTGTGGTGTCTGGCACCAGGGCGGTGACAGCGGATCCTTTGAGTCCTATTGGTTGTGAGGTGGGATACTAACGTGTCGCCTGGATGCTCAATTTAATCAGGATCTGGAGAGTTTGGAGACCAGGTCGATGCCTAGAGCCCTTTGTCACATTTCTCAGGCCATTCCTGAGCAGTTTTTGCGGTATGGTTATTTTGCAGTGTGGTTATTTTGTCAGGTAGGCTGTAGAGAGATCAAATAATGTCTTAGTCACTCACCAACACATTCAATTTCTTCTCAACTGCATCAATTCCCACCTCATTCTCTATATCATAGAGACGTATTTTGATGGGTATTTTGCCAGTTACCATGGGGACGGCACTGAAGGACACAAACTGGGAAGACTCTGGCTCCACAGTAATGTTAACAAAAGCTGTACTGGTAGCTGAGCCAGGGGAACAAAGTCCTGTAGTTTGTTCCATATGAACTGCCACCTATAAAAATTCAGGAGTCCACACATTAAATACCATCAAGGTCTACATTTCAGTTTGTATAGAAGGTGGTTGTTTTTTAATTGCCACTTAATGTCAGCATTAGGTTATCTTCACCTGTAGTCTTTCATGGCCATAGTTATAGATAACAGGTGAAATGGATAGTTGCTCGTATCTCTTCACTGAGAAAGGCAATCTCAGAGACACAAATACTCTCTTAAATGCTCTGAACTCAGACGGCTTAACTACACAGAAACCTGAATAAAACACAGAGCAAGTGAGTTGTACTTATTAATGAGAAAACTAGGCAAGTAGCTGAGATATATTTGTGTCCTGAGAATCTGTTATTACCAGTCTCTGCAGACAAAGTGATGACCTGAAACTCCCATGTGGTGATGGAATCAGGTAGAGCCAAAGAATAGCTGAGGGGTTTCAATTAAGATAAAATTAATGAACTGGTTGTAATATGCATCTCACAAATCCTTTGTCTACTTGTAGTTTATTTAGGAGACTAAGTAATGCATTTAACCATATTCACTTACACTGAACCATAGAACAAGCAGTAGTTCAAAAGTTGACAGTATTAGAAGCAACAAACAGTTACTAATGCAAATGATAGGTTTTAAAGGCTGTAACTAGAAATTGTATCTTACTGAAAAAGAAAAGAAAAGAAAAGAAAAGATATTATATAAAAACTGTCCATTCATCCCTTACCTTTCTTTGCCATTTACATCAAATTCTCTGAATTCAAAGCTTGGAGGGAAAAAATGTCGAATGTACAGATCAGCAGTGTCCATGAAGAACTCTTCAATGTCAGCTGTGCTTGCAGCTAAAAATGAGAGAATAAAAGGTTTGTGATTACACTCTGTGTTAATCTTGCCACAGTTATTTATTAAATGCTGTCTAAGTAGGCATTGTAAGTATTTAATGTTCACACAACAATTTCATCTTACTCCTGCCAAGTCCGTTCTGGGCGTCCTCTTGTATCTTTTTTTGTCTCAGACGCTCTCCCTCAAGGCAGCATTTTAAAAAGACATCTGCACAGACAGGATTTGATTCCACCAGAGAGACTCTCTTTGCTCTATCCTGACATGTCCGTATCATAGGGATGAGAGAAAACCCGCGAACACAACAGTCCTGCAGCTTTTCATCTGAAAAGTTTGATTCTGTAAGTGACAGTAAAAGAAAACGAAAAGGCACATTTTTAGAGCATTGTTTTACCAGGAGTACCTTTATCTATCTACATTATCATGGAATTATAATGCCAGAATGCTGTCTCACTTAGGACCATCATTTCCTGTTGAAGGTCTACAGCGCGCCTTTGTCGTGCAGTTTGTGATCCACAGGCAAGATCTGGAAAAGTAGTTTTAACAACATTAAAGCTCAGCGCGGGATCAGTAAGTAGGTAACTACTTGAGTTGTTGGAAAACAATTATTTGCTAAAAAAGTGATTTCTGCATTAGTGGTTACAGCAACATGATAATATCTGCCTTGTTGTTCTTTATTTTCTCTCTAACGTTGATTACCATTATCTTGTTCTTTTTAATATGTTTTCGATACAACCGAAACTGTCTGCATTGCTAGATATGACTAGAGATATGATTTTTTGTAATTTGGATAAAACAATCCTTTAAAAACACTTTGTTCCAATCCTCACACTGCAGTATCCTGTGTCCCATTGTGTGTGTGTGTGTGTGTGTGTGTGTGTGTGTGTGTGTGTGTGAATAATCTATTTGTTGCACTGTCATTTAACATTTTAAAGGATTAAAATAAGGTAAATTAGGGATGCACCGAAATGAAAATTTGTGGCCGAAGCCGAATATTATTAAGCGCTTGGCCGAATACCGAGTACCGAATACCGAATATCGTTGTTTAGTTATTCATTAGTTTTTGCAGATGAACCCCCTCCAGATTAGTGTTGTCACAGTACCAAAATTAGGACCCACTGTACGATACCAATGAAAATATTATGGTTCTGAGTAGTATCACGATACCACAGCGAAAATGAGGCAGATGTGCCTTTTGTCATTTATAAAAAGATAAATCACTTTTCTATAATACATCAATGATATTTCAATGGAATAGATTACTTATTGACTTATTCATACTTCAAAAACAGCATCAATAAGTGATTAACATAGTGCGGGATCAAAATAAAATAAATAAATAAAATAAAAATCAACCAGCCATCCTCCTCCCCTGACAAATCCCTTCATAAGTAAGGAACAGTCCCTAAAGTGCGGTGAGGTTTGTGGGCTGTGAACGGCTTGTTTCTCCTCTGACACATCAGGTACGGTCTGTGTTCGGCTGGCTTGGCTGTTCAGGTACTTCTGGGCAGTCCACACGCCAAGAAGAGGATATTATTGGAGCCGACTTCTCCGTCGCCCGGTAAACCAATGGCCGCTGTAATTGACAGGAATGCATTACTGTCTATGTCTGTGACCCCCGTTCAACCCACAACCGATGGGATTCGCGTTTCGTTTCTGCTGCTGGTTGAAATCTGTAGGCTGCTCGCACAGCGTGCGGAATGATTTAAGCCTATTTTGCTCGCTCAAAACGGATCGCCACACTGCTGACATTTTACTCCGCCCGTCACGGCACGCTGTTTGATTGCGTTATCAAAACACGCCGCTATTATTCGGCCTTGCTTTTAACTTATTCCACCGAATACCGAATGTGTGTTTTTTTGCAATATTCGTCCGAATATATTCGGTTACCGAATATTCGGTGCATCCCTAAGGTAAATTGTGTTTTTGTCTTACTCTTTTTCCACACTGCTTCAGACTGAGATATAAAAGACAGGCCAGCATCTGTTAGTGCAGAATCTGGGTGACGTCCTCCACTATATGAGCAACCAAGGTCATATGACTGCATGGTGGAAAACACCTGAAAAGTGAAACAAGAGCTTGGATTTAATGTATGATAATATATGGGCTGAATTAAATAACCTCAGTAAGACAGAATCAGTGTGAAAGTGTTACCTGTTTGGCTGTGAGTTTATTATCAGCATTGAGAGCGTAGAAGGCTTTATCCACAGCCAGTGAAGCCACTCTGGCTCTTTGACCATGTAAATCAAATTCTAGCTTGGCTGTCCTTCTAGGTTCTAACAGTCCTTTTTGTACTACCTACATTGAAGTTAAAATATTACCATGTCATTGTCCAAGGTCAAGGTTAATTCAATCAATACATTCAAACAGTATATAATATACATGTAACCACATAGGCTGTGCTCAGTAGAAACAAACTTTTGTGTTGACAGAGTGATAACTGCCAGGCAACCTAGTAATACCCACCGTAGCAGTGTTTTTTACTTTAAAGCTTAAAGGTTGGCTACAGTCAGTGTCAGAAATTAGCAAGGGCCACGGGCCATTTGGCCCGCAATTTATCCAAGAATGCCCCCAAAAGCCATGTTCCGGGGTCCAAAATTGCCCCCAAGTTTTTGAAACAACTATATGTATTTATATTTTTAACAGTATTACAATCTGACATTAAAGTATAATTTTATTTTCATTAAATTAATTTACTGTCACATCTACAACTCATTTTCCAGACATAATCAATGAGATTGCACTGATTATGTGAGAGTAATCTGACAGAGAAGGGGAGGGGGCTTTGCCGTACCATAAGTATAGATTAACCATTTCTTGGGTGATCTGTGTCTACACAATGAAAAATTGAGGTAGAATGAATGTTAAATTTTAAATTAACTTACTTCCAGGATTGCATCTAAGGAATTTATAGTAATTTGGCCTTTTTAACAGTAAAAGTAACTGTAATGTGGTGAAACATTAGTACTGCTATCAGTAGATTAATGGTTAAATCATCACATTTAAACTGGTTGAATTATAGGAAATCTGAGTGATATTTTGCAACCATAACTTTATGTAACGGGCGGCACGGTGGTGTGGTGGTTAGCACTGTCGCCTCACAGCAAGAGGGTTGCCGGTTCGATCCCGGGTGTGGGAGCCCTTCTTTGCGGAGTTTGCATGTTCTCCCCGTGTCAGCGTGGGTTCTCTCAGGGCACTCCGGCTTCCTCCCACATTCCAAAGACATGCAGATTGGGCACTAGGTTAATTGATAACTCTAAATTATCCATAGGTGTGAATGTGAGCGTGAGTGGTTGTCTGTCTCTATGTGTCAGCCCTGCGATAGTCTGGTGACCTGTCCAGGGTGTACCCTGCCTCTCGCCCGATGTCAGCTGGGATAGGCTCCAGCCCCCCCCGCGACCCTCAAGAGGATGAAGCGGTTAGAAGATGAATGAATGAACTTTATGTAACCCATTATTTATTTCATTTAGTGGTTTCTACTGAAGAGTGAAGACACTATCTTAGTTGGTTTTGCTTTTCATGTGCTTATTGTTAGAACATAATTACAATTTTTTGATGGCCCCCAAACATTTCGAAAATGCCCCCATTTTTTAGGCCGTGGGGGGGCCAAAATTGCCCCCAAAATATTTTGTTAATTTCATACCCTGGCTACAGTACAGTACTGTAGGAGCTTTATACATGTATAAATCATTTCTTATTGCTAATAGATAAACAGGCTGCAATGTAAGTCAAAAACTGATACCTTCCTTGCCTTTCTTGGTTGCCTATAACAGCTTGTGGACTGACCTCTATGTACAGACTTCAGGCCTAACAGTGTGCAACAGCTGATTAATGGCCCGGCAGAGACAGACCCTCTCATAGCACCCTGTAGAAAATCAAATTCAGCCCAAGCAACTCTGAGCATCCAAGCGCCAGGGGCCTAATTTGGACTGCCCTCTTGACCACCCCAAGTCCCTGCAGGACTGGCAAATCTCTGCTACTGCAGTTACACAGATTCAACCTCACTGTGAAGGGCTTGGTTTTCATTGGCTAAATTTGAGTTGCTACTGCAACTAAGGTCTCAGCTGCAGTTCACTCTCCTTGCAAGGAGGTTATGTCCTAGTGGCGGCGAGTGAGGCAGAGGGTCGGCAGACTGTACTAGTGCTAATTCTTGTTTCAGTTGTTGTCTGATAAACAGTAAATCCACAGTTCAGTGCCCAATATCATAATTTCATTTCCCCTGGTGCTGAGAAGAAATACTAAAGTTACAGGGAGCACTGACGAGGAATAAAGGTCTATTGTGCCATTGTGGTTTAAGCTGACTAATGTTAGCTTTCTTGCTAATGCGGACAAATTGCTAGCTAGCTTACATAGCAACATACAGGGTGTTTCTCAAAGTCAAGGATCCTTCCTTGTTAGGAAGGATCCTCCAGAGGCAAGGCAAGAGTCCTTCCTGGCATTCAGTGAACAGACATTGGAACAGGCTAACAAGTGTCTCCAGGTGTACGTCAATGACCCTCAGCAGACTGAGGGGGTTTCAGGGAACTGTGTAGGAACAAATGTATCAGTATTTTCAGAGTCATGTGAGTGGTGTGGAGTAATGAAGTAAAGTAAATTCTAAATTATCATTTACAGTCTATACACAGACTCACACAGAATCACACTGTGATGCAAAAGTGTTCCATACTTTATGTGCGTATCACCACACACTATGCTACAGCAATGAGAGTAGCTGATCTGATCTGATGAGCCACGCTGCTCTGAAACAGCTATACATGGTACTGCTATGTAATGCTCTGAAATAAGTGCACCTCAAAATAAATGAGTGATGCTTTGACCGGCAGGGTATTCTCATATGGTTACTGTGGCCGCTCTCACTGCAATTCCCCCGAAAAATACACCTACTGAAACTGGCAGAATGATAGCAATGAACATGTCACTATCATGTGAATAGTGGGGGAAGGAGGGGAGGTGGACACTTAACGCTCCATCTCTGCTGTGAATAATTAAAGGAGCTATATGTAAGAAATCTAAAGCAAATAGTCATAAAATCCTCCTAATATGTCACAGAGACTAAGGAATAATGTTCAAATAACATAGTGATCCCACCGACAACAATAGTACAGCCAGAATATTCACATTTAAAAAAAAATTTACAGTCCGCAAATCATGTTTATGTTTTGAATTTGTGTTTTGGCCTGTTGCGCCACCCACCGCCATCTACCAGTCACGCAGTCAGTAGAGTCTCAGCATCAGTTACAGTTACAACTGAGCTACAGCAGCACGGCAAGCAGCATTAGCAGTGTCCCGGTACATAGCATTAGCAGTCTCCTCAGCTGTATCCCGGCAGCAGCGTTAGCAGCAGAGAAACCGGACTTGCTCGAACGGTCCGCTGGAAAACCGAAGATCAAGGACGCGGCGACGCGGCCCTGCCACAGCAGCCGCCCGTGGGCAAACAAATCAGTCTCCAGCGTGCCGCTGTCCAGCATCCTCAAATCTGTAGGAGAGGGGTGGCGGACACGACTCGCGCCAGTATTTTGAATTTGAGTGCAGTAACCGTTTTGGCCACATTCTTACATACAGCACCTTTAATTTAAAAACTTTTATGTTTTATCTAAATCATGTTATTTTAAAAATGTCATTATTTGGCAGTGGACACATTGGAGAGAGTAAATTATGAGGTTTCTGTCAATTTTTTTATGCTTGTATGATAAAAACTTCTGGAGATATTAATCCAAATAAATGACATTTATCTAAATCCTGCCGAGCTGTGCTGGTGCAGGTTTCATTGAAAAGGCCCCGCCTTCACTTCCAGCAAATTGTGAGCAAAGCATTGTGGGAATTTCGCTGAGGATACACACATGCATCCTTGGAATTTCTCTGAAAGAAGGACTCAGTCCTTCATGAAATTCAGAAGGATCCTTGACATTGGAACACTCCCTCTGCAGGGTTTGATGACTTAGCCTCCTTGAAAATCAGCTGTTTGAGGATCCTTCATTGACTGAGAAACACCCACTGTCTTGAGCAAAGGCCTGGGAAGGTGGGTGCCGAGGGTTCTGCCGCAACCCTTTTGGACAAGGGGTAGAACAACACAGTTTGTAAGTAGTTGGCTGTTTTACCATAACTTGTGGGCTTTTGAACCTTTGTTTTGAATTTTAATGAAAATAAAATCCCACGTGTGTGAGTGATTAACGTCATTTAATTCATTATGATTTAATCTTGCTGGCAACTTAAATTGGCTAGCTTGCCAACTATAAATTACTTTATTAGCCAATTTTATAGTAACCAACGCCAGATCAAAAGAGTAGCTTAGTTACAGATAGCATTCTACCTTTGCTTGTTTGCTTCCTAACTTTATTGCTAGCAAATATGGTGTGGTTAGTCAGTTGGCTAGCTTGCCATATTACTTCCCCAGCTAGCGTGATCCATGATACTAACTTGCATATTATGTCAAATCTCAAATCATATTGATTTAGTAAACAATTAATGATGTAGCAGCTCTAAAGCGCTTTCTCTTAGCCAAGAGCAATGCAGGGGTGGAGCTAACCGTAACCTGAGCTAAAGGTTAACTGTCAAGTTTGCTTTGTAGCATCAGTTGATAAAGTAATTTGCAAACACCAAACTACTTAGTATCGTGGAGCCAATGGTCCAAATGAAATATAAGAACATTACAGATAGTAATGTTATTGTAACTATGATTTTAATTTATTTTTCAGCATTCTATCAACACACACAATCGTGGCCAGTCTCGTGTTTGTCACTGTTTTGGCCAGTGCCTAGGTACTTGCTTGCAGCTACGGAGTGTGCACAATGGAGCCCAAGCTACAGGATGCTGACTGCAGTTCACTTAACGGCCTCAAAGACAGATGTCACAACAATAACAAGGGTTTTGTGAAAGTTACATGCAGAACTTTAAAGTTGATTTCACTAAGTCCTTATATTATTTTCCCTTCCCTCCCCCATAACAAATGCTAAATAATACAAAAAGTGTCCTAACTGTACAGAATGAATCTATTGAAATATACATATTAGAGGGGTAAAGTTGTTTGTTTACTGTCTCCCTGCTCAGACTGCACTCCAATCTGATCTGTTTACTCACCTTGACCTTTATCTCACATTCATCCCTGACATCTATCCATACTGAGTCAGCAATGATGTCACCACGGTCATTGTAGTAGTAGCCAATCAATCGGAAGGATGGCACCATATCAGATGTTATCTGCAGGTTGTGTTTAACTGCAGTACCAAATCTTAGAGAACCCTGTGTTATTAGGAACCCACGGCTTAGGACCTGCAACATAGCCAGTTTGAAAATGTTAAGAAATGGAAAATTGTTGTTGTTTTTTGTCAAAACAAACCATGTTGTATTCACTCAGATATGCCTTACCATGTAGTATATAAACCCCTGTCCTGGGCCATTGATGGTGTTGTAATTTACAGACAGGAGCTCGCCCAAAGAATAGATTTTGTTGTTAAAGGTCATGTAAAGGAAGCTGATGCCCCTCGCTCGGGAAACACGACGCATTATTCCCCATCGTTGAAAGCCATCTGCAGACACCTAATGAAGTCAGGGTGTAAACAGTTTAACAGAACTGAAGCAAATTCAGTGGTTTATAAAAACACCTCTAACTTCTCTCAGGGATACTAACTCCAAAAGTAATCTTTAAAGTAAACGGAATATTAAACACAGGAAACACTGCCCCCTCCTGGTCAGTGATGCCTTGCCAAGATTCCTCAGAGGATGGTGATACATCAATCTTTACTGGCACACCAGCTGCTGGGGAGCCATCTGGCAGACGTATGATCACCTATAATGACAACAAACAGAACTTTAACTTACAAAATCATCATTACATCCTTAGCAGTGTACCCACTTGTTAGGTTCATGCATACCTTCATATCTAGTGGGTATCCAGGATGAAAATATCGTCGAGTCCGAGAGACATCAATGGTGTATTTGTTGGAGACAACGGGAAGGTAAACTTCTGCCTCTTGTATTTCACCACCTGGGCAAAAACAATGCAGATATCAGATGCACGAAAAATACGTCAGTATTCCCAATATCAACTTCTTCTACTACTACTTCTTCTCAGGCCCTCAGGAAAGCTGCTCAGCCTTGCTTCCAATTGATTCCAGTGGCCACATGCGGTATTGCAGCGAATAATTTCCCTGCAGCCCAAAAAGCATTTTCCACATAGACAACCATTGTAAAACTGTTGACAGGACACCTCGAACTGCAAACAAGGTAAATTCTGAATATTTCTATTATTTTTTTATCCACAGAAGTTTTATATTTTTAATACTTGACTTGAGTGAAGGAAAGTGATTTTAAAATCTGTGACGTCATCACGATGTTAAGTCTATGAGCTGAGACTTCTTCAGTTCTAACGGACTGGTGCAGAGTCACAGGCTTTAAACTCTGTGTGTGAGTGAACCCTTATAGAGTCGTTTAGGTCACATGTGAGTCGTTGACCCACCTGGCCATCTTGTGTGCCGTTAGTTTTTTGGACCCATCTAACCCTACCGACACACAAGATGGTACCTCTGTTTACCCACTTTAACACTTATGAGTTAAACTGCTGTATTTAAACACATCTCTTATCTCTCATTCTGTTTTGCACCATCCAGAGTCATCACAGTGCCCTGGAGGTGCATAACAAGAAACGAAAACTAGCTTTCTGGCCATTTAACACCAAACATGAGTAAACAGTGTACTTAACAGTGCACGTCACATGCCGCTGTATATAAAACACCAAATATTTGACACAATATGAAATATATTCTCTTTACACCATAATGGTTTTAAACTTTTGGCTCTTTTGGGAGGTTGCTGACTTAAACATTGGTATATAGTGACAGAGTGTCCTGTACTTTGTACGTTGGTGACGAATACTCCCAAGTAGAGTCTTGCTCCACTTTGTGTTAAATCAGACAGTTTTCCGTTCTGCTGTTTTTGGAAGTGCTCCTGTAAGTCTGATATCTGGAGGGCAGCTGTTGCAGTCCCATTCGTGACCTGCAAGAAAAGAGATAAATTGTTAATTTTCAAGTACTGTAGTATTTTAGAGATAGAATATGTGGCCAGATTATCTGATATCAGATATTGAAATGAGCCGTTGTATACATTTAGGAGAGAAATCCATTTCCTTACCAAACCAGTCAACTCCAATCCCCTGATGAAGTCAGGCTTAATTTTTTGACCAGGGGCTTTACCTTTTTTTATGATTCCGAATTGGCAGTGGTAAACCCCTTTAACTTTCTCACCATGTGAATACCTAGAGAAAATCATTGAAAAAGAGAGTCTGAAAATGTAATGGTGGAGTTTGAGACAAGTAGCCTGACACCAAAAACACAGCGATGAAGTTCAGCCTGTGGCGAGTTGCCATGCGATGTCTGTGGAAAGCTGTGGCAGCCACTCAGAGCTGCAGTCATTTGATTTCTCAGCAAAGTGCGGCCGAACTAAAAGTGGCAAATGGCAGCCAGAGAATACCCACAGCCAATCTGTATGACGTTTGTCATTTGGTTGGCTTATGTTACAAAGAATTTCTTCCCATCTGAACACATGAACAAGAATCCCTGCTGCAAGGAAATGCAATTATTGTGGCAAGCCGCACTTGACCGCTGCTTGCTGTGTTTTTGGCGTAAAGATAGTAACATGCTGTTGCATGACATATGTGCATACCTGGAGATTAGCAGTTAAGTATCCAGGCTTCTTTACTTCCCTTCATCCTTTTCTGATAACCATTCATTATTAAACTCAAATGTTATGTGTTGGAATATGCTTTTCTTTGCTGTGCAAAGTTTGAAACAACAACCTTTAACTTAGAGTAGTTAATGGTTAATGTAAATAATAGTGCAGAGCACATGTAAGGCACAGTGATGGATGCATAGCTAAAAGTCCCAGTGCTTCGCCTCAGTGATGGATGTTTCCAGGCATATTTTAGGATGACTCAGGGGCAGTTTGACAACCTGCTGTCTATCATCAAGCTGTATACCTCTGGGCATTCAGCAACCGCTACCACCAGTTTCTCCTCCATTGTTTACCAACTGTAAACTTGTTGTTGTGACTACCACCGAAGGCTCAAATCATCCGATTGGACAATACGAAAAAAGATGACGAAAAAGAGATAGCGTGGGGCGTTTTGAGTTGAAGATTTTTCATCTCAAGGAGTTCAGAGCACTCCGGCAAAAAATGCCATGCATGACGCAACACAAAAACTGTGAGCAAAAATCTTAATTTTCATCAAAAACAATTACAAAAAAACATCTTTAGCTGCTAAAACACTTGTTGTGTGATAGGGCCTAAATCAGCACTCACTGAGTGCCTCCTGTCTGATCAGATTGCTTGGTCAGAACTAACTGTTGTATAAAGTAACATGCGGACTGGCATTAAACTTTTCTTTTTATCAAAACAATAATAAACAGTATATTTTATGTTAATATTGAATCAAGTAATTGGGTATAATTTGATAGCTTACGCTAACAGTTAGCTAGGTAAGCTACTGCTAGCTGTTAGTAACCTTGGCCACAATGTTAGCATCTTCAGGCAATGACTTGTATGTGTATTTTTTTTTTTACCTTGTTCCTAAGTTTTCATGGCACAGTGACCAAAACTGATAAATGCAGCTTTGCAACCAGAAAACTTAAAGTAAGTAAAGTAGGTTTAATAGGAGCTTGAAGTGTAACTTCAGCCCCAAGTCTTAAGCACAGGGCGGCAGGGGTAGTGGTGTAGTGGTAGTTGATGAGGTAGGTGTTCTTTCTAAAGAGGAGGTGGGTATACTTACAAATTAACATGGCTTTTTATTCGAAAGGTCAGTAAACGGCCAGAAAAAGTGAGAGGGACCCAGCTGCAGACATGATGGCAGACATGGGCGCCGCCATATATCCAATCCATACCAGAAGTCCCTACCGGAAGTTGGTCTGTGTGTGTATTAATCGCCGAGGAAGAAGACAACGGAAAAGACGAAGAGAAGAATGCAAACAATACACGCACGACTAAGAGAAAGAACGGTAAGGGAACGAGTCTTTTAATTATTAGAATTAGACAACTTTATTGTCATTGTACATTGTACAACAAAATTCTGTTCAGCACTTAGCACTAGCAGTACTAGCTAGTAGCTAGCACTAGCATAGAGTACCAAGCCGCTGCGTTTATACGCGCTGTCATCTTCATTATCTTTTAACACGTGTGTTATGTTCTGTGATTCAATTCTACGTAATCTCGGCATGTACAAATTACTACCACCGGATGGGTTTAGCTACATTTGTTGTGTAAAAACGAGGGCATGATTGGTATTAACTTTACGTTAGCTGCTCAAGGTCTGTTGTGCTCCCTTTCATCAATGTCTGTGTGTAAACAGTGTTGATGTTGGCCAGAGACTATTACTGCCCTCGCTTGATGTGTTGGTTAATTTAGATGTGTAGTTTGCAGCGGGGTTAACATGTGTTCCTCTGCTTTTTGGTGTACTGTGGTGTAAAACATCTGTGCACACACTCAGTGCACACAAGCCTTTTTTTTTTTTTTTTTTTTTGGTTTGCCTGGTCTCCTTGTGTATTAATGCTTGTATAACCTCAACCCTGCGCTGCTCAATCAAGTTATATACAGCTTTTTTTTCTGGAGATTAGGGATGCACCGAATATAAATGCGACTATTTTTAGTCGCATTTGCGACTAAAAATAGCTTTGAGTGAGCAAAATAGGCTTAAATCATTCTGCACGCTGTGCGAGCAGCCTACAGATTTCAACCAGCAGCAGAAACGAAACGCGAATCCCATCAGTTGTGGGTTGAACGGGGGGTCACAGACACAGATAGTAATGCATTCCTGTCAATTACGGCAGCCATCGGCTTACCGGGCGATGGAGAAGTCGGCTCCAATAATATCCTCTTCTTGGTGTGTGGACTGCCCAGAAGTACCTGAACAGCCAAGCCAGCTGAACACAGACCGTACGTGATGTGTCAGAGGAGAAACAAGCCGTTCATGGCCCACAAACCTCACCGCACTTTAGGGACTGTTCCTTACTTATGAAGGGACTTGTCGGGAGGAGGGTGGCTGGTTGATTTTTATTTTATTTTGACCCCCCCCCTATGTTAATCACTTATTGATGCTGTTTTTGAAGTATGAATAAGTCAATAAGTAATTTATTCCATTGAAATATCATTGATGTATTATAGAAAAGTGATTTATCTTTTTATAAATGACAAAAGGCACATCTGCCTCATTTTCGCTGTGGTATCGTGATACTACTCAGAAC